CCCCCCCCTTTAGACTAACAGCGGTTAAAATAAAGTCGTGGTTATCAGCGACTGCAAAATACAAATGCAATTTTGGAACGGTTAAAATTGGTGAGAAGTACACAAGTGATGGGCAAACAGGCACTGTACAGATCCCCCCTTCCACATCTACACCAAAGAGGATAAACTTCTGACCTTTAAACGACGGTGTCTGATGGAGGTAAAGCAAAAAAGAGTTGAAGAAAGCTGTAGAAGGCTCATGATCCCAGTAGTATAAAAGCAGGTTTTTTTTTTTTTTTTCCAGGCTGTAAACAGTCTTGGTAGGTTTTTCTAAGTGTTTTCCAATTCATCAAATAAAACAACAACAATGCATGGAAAAGGGTGAATAGCAGCAATGGCTTATAACTTGGATCTCTTACCAAGTCCCAGTAAAGACATATCTGGAGAGGAAATGCTCTGTTGTAAGAAATATATATTATTTTTAACTGTACACAACTTATAGGGAGAGCTTCTCTCCCTCAACCAAGCCTCCAAACACCCAGCATGTAGCTGATTTTGTACACCCACTCTGTCACCTCTTAGAGGAAAATAATAGCTCTGTAAAGAGATGGTGTCTGATTTTACAAAACATTTACCAAGTAATCCAAAGATTTTATCGTTCACTAGTTCCTGGAACTGGAAATGGGACAGAAGCTAACACTGGAATAGTAGTATTTCTCCTGTACCGGTATGGAAATAGTTGGAGCAGCCAGCACAAGCTGGACACGAGCCTGGCCAAAAGCCGCAGCGGGAAGCGGCCGTGAGCCACAGCCCCAGCTCAGACAACAGGCGCCCCCCTAGTTTCAATTCTGCTTCTGAGGGAGCTGAGGCAGATTTTTTTTTTTTTTTTTTTAAGGCAGTTCTGCTTTCTGGCACATGGAGAATTTTAAGAGCTTGGTTACATTAAGCTTATCTCACTTACATGCTCACCATTGCTACTGATATGAGTGATTCAGCTACCTGTTGCTGCGGCAGTGCAAGGAGACTCCAGCGTCACTCAGTGCCAGGACCGTCCCTTCCGGACGAGGGCAGCGCAACACCTTTACGCTCAGTTTACGCTGGGCTCAGTGCTGACGTTTGCCTGAAGCCCTGTCTAGATTAGCACTTCCACAGGGGAGCGAGGGGACAAGAACATCAGCAACGGCCCTTTCTCTAACAAAAATGGGCAGATTTCTGGCTCAGTGCTTCTCTATGAACTGCATAATCTCAGCAATGGGACTGTTTTCACTTACCCTATGTATTCCAAAGGATCAACTTGAGTCAACAGTCTTGCTTTAATTTAAGTAGCACACCCTTCTTTCCAAAAAAGGTATTTCTATACAATGTATAAGACAGTTTGGTTTGTTCAGGAAAAGTATTACTATAAAACAGACTTAACACGTTTTGGTGTTGCTCCAGTCCAGAGCACTCACCAGACATTGCAACTAAACCATTAGCACATCCCTTTCAATTCAGGCAATCTGTAGGCAGCCTTCTTTCCCTTTTAGGATGGGGCAAAGCACAACTAAATCCAGCAAGAGCAGCAGTGTGAAATTTTACACAGGGGATTTATTTTAAAAAAATACTCTCATCAACATTCTAGCATTTCTAACAAAACATATTCAGAAGAGATGACAAAAGGTAGGATTGTCAGCTCTCTTAAAACTTTAAATATAGATTTCAGATAATAGCTGCTTTAAATCAGAAGATGAGGAATCTGTGCAAGTCTGACCTGTCCCTCGTATGGTAGGTGCAACATGTACTTTTATGCCTACACCAGTTTCAGGCTGCATTACTCCTTTAAAATGAAAGGAAAAAGGCAGAAATGCAGATTCAGTGGGAGCAGATGATGCAATTGCACTTTCTAACAGAATGCCTAAGGAGCTAGTACTCGAGCAATCAAAGATCAACTGCAAAAAGCAAGCATACAGTTACAAAAAGCATTCTCAGCCTCATACCACAGCGGAAGCAAAAGTTACCTCTGCCAACTTAAAAACCAAAGCCAACAGGATTTAATTTCTATTAAAATAGTTAAGTCTTAAAGTTTCAATAATCTAAATACACTTTTTAAAAGTCATGATGATTGCTGTTTTACATTAAACTGACATGAAATCAGAGACTGCAGTGTCAGACTTCACTGCAGCTATTTTATATACATGGTCTCTGGTTTTGTCTTTTTTGCTGAAACATTGATTCCCATCTTTCTCTCAAAAGCTTACGGGCCAAGTTTGCTCTTCAGCAGGTTTGCAGTCTTCTCAAACATGAAAACAACCTGTGTGTAAACTGACACCACCCACCTCTTCCCTCCAGCAGTTCTGGTGTTCAGTCCTTAGAGGAACCTGCATCACTACTAGGCATGGCTTACTCAGCCCTATCGCCCAAGGGCTAGGCGCTGCTGGAAGGCTGGGCATTTCTCCAGTGCAAAGTCACCTCTCACCGCTAGACCGACACACTGAATTCAGTAGGACCAGGCGGCTTGTGGATGAAACAGGCAGCTTCAAAGCTGGCTCATTCCATTGGAGGCAGCTGAGTGTGGGCATCTACAATTTCGGCATTCCTAAGGCAAGGAACATACAAAAAAAATTATAAACACTGTATGGTGATGAAAATACAACTCCTTTGAGATATATGCTTTACGTTGGATTTCTATTGCTGCTTCTAAAGACCATCTCCAGTTGTTTCTAGAGATCAAAAGGGAAGAAAGTTAATTTTCTTCTGTTGTAATATGCTTATGAACATGTATAAAAAGTGGTCAAACCCTGATGAGGGTCCCTGCTTCTGGTTTATGTACAGAAATTTAAATCAGCTGAATACATCTGTAATACCTAAAAAAATTTTTTTAAGATTTTAAGTCCTTCATGCATTATGAGGAAGTTCTGGATTAAAGTGATGGTATATTGGATGGTGCTTCTGTCTGGGACTCTGGTATCACTCTCCTGGAGTCTTTGCCAAAGATGCATTTCTTAAATCTTTAGTTTTTTAATGGTATCAAGTCTCTTTTTCAGCAGCTCTCCAATTTCCTGAATTGAGTGATGGTAACTGCTCTGGACCTTCCCTTGCACAGTCTTTGTAAACTTTTTTTCTTCCTGCAAAGCACAAAAGAGATACAGGTCACTCACTCCACTGCAATTGTTTAAATCCGCCTCTTAAACTTCTCCCACCATCCCTACCAACAATAATAAGAATTTCAAATGCAAGAATACAAAGGGCATCTTATCAGCACAGAATAGGTAGCAATAACTGGCCAGCAGTATTAATTCCTGCAAATACTGGTGTTCCCCAGAGAGGACTGGGGACACAGTAACACTTCTTGACCCCTGGAAACACCTTTGTGCAAAAGAATTACAGCTGAAATTGAGGGGTGTGCGTAGCATTTTTCTAGAGATCGTTTATTAAAGCTGGAAATCTCTTACATGGAAAACTGAAATCATACAACAAACGAACGCTGACTAGGTGACCTTTATAACAAATTCTAGAAGCACGGTGAACTACAGGGCATGGGAAGGGTGCGGATGACACTAACTCGGCAACACTGAAACCAAGGTTTCCTGAAGATAGGACGACATTTTATATCCCCTTCCACATTTATTTTTTGGATGGGCCCAAGTCTTTTAACTGCCCTGTCTCTGCAACACTGCTTAAAGAGGATCACCAACATGCAACATCACTGGCCTTGCTCCTGCAGATAAGGCGAGGTTAGCACTGACCCATTACGAATGGTGATGTATTTCTGTATACAGAAATAACAGCTCTTGGTGTCCATTTAAGCAGCTATAACCATTGCTCTGCCTCTGCAAGAGGCAACTTGCTATCAAGATGCCTTTTGCAGATGCTCATACAGATAGCAAGCAGCAAAGCCTGTGAAGCACAGCCTGAGCGAAGCAATTGGATGTGGGAAAAATCTCATGTCAGCCACAAGCTTTGGCTGACACATTGCCAGTCATGTTCCATTCCTGAATCGCACCAGAGTCTTCATTAACGCTTCACCATGACTTTTTTTTTCGAAAGCACTGTTTAGCTCTACATACACAGAGCTGCAAACACTGCTCTGGGCCCAAGCAGAGCTATACAGACTGCATATATTAGTATTTCCTACAAGTGTCAAACAACAGATGTCAAACAGCATGAATAAACAGGAAAAATTGCAACAGACTCCCATAGACACTTCTGTTCAAAAATCAAGCATAAGATTTGCCTAGATTTGCAGGTCTGTCCTCTGTAGTAAGGTAATTGATGCCTTATACACAACATTTTACTCTTATTTGAGAGCAATGGCTCGAGAAGCCAAGCTGCCTTATTAGGCATCTGCTTCTCAAGTCCAAATTTGGCATAGGGCTTGACATGAGAAGTGCCTATTACTCCTGCCTTTGGTGTTCTTTATATAGCTAAGGAGGAAAAAAAGTTGCCAGTTATTTTTCCATGTGTATCAAGTAAGTGTTTCCAGGGAAGTGACTGATAAGCAGTTTGTGAAGTCTCACAAGTTTCCTGGAATACTTTTGCATCCACTATGGAGCATGCTAAAATATGGATGATAGAACAGTCATAACACAGACAAGAAAATGATGTTAAAAAACCTAAGATTTTCTCCCCTATATGTCATGCTAAGTGAGTATAGTTTAAAATTGTTGCATTTAAATCTCATTTTCTGACACTATTTTGTGTAGTAAGCAAAAATTGATTAGAGGAGGCAGAGTCACTGTACCAGATCATGAACTATGAAAAACTAACTCTACCGCTCCAAAACCCAGCTTCTTGCAGTCTGGTGCCTAACCTCTGGGTAGCAGCTGTAAGTCAATCATATGAGGTTTCTTTCATTTTTTTTCTTCCAATAAAACATTTGGAGGGTAAAAAAAAAGCATTCACCCAAATTACTCTGTAGGTGTGTAAGTAAATATTATCTGTCACATACAAATGTAGAGAGCACAAAAATAAAGATGCAGGTTCTTACCTGTAAAGGCAGAGCGTCCTTGAGGGACAAGTCTTCAAGTTTTAGCGCAGTCAGAATTATTTCAAGCCCTTTGATGTGATCTATTACATTGGAAGTTAATGTCTGTAGGTCAGTAACATAATCCAGAAAATGCGTAAATACAGGAGGCTATAAAAATAAATACATATTTTTAATTATAAACACATACTAATGTCTGTTCAAGTGACTATCCCATGTAAAAACTCACTTTGTAAAGCCTATAAATTCTATTGCCCCATGCCACTGCTAAGCTATCCATATTGATCCATATAACCAATACCAGTTAGCCAGTTTATTATAGCGCACTTGAGATCGGAAGGTCTGAGATACTCCAAACTGTGTTTTTCCTATTTAAACTGTGTTTTCCTAAATAAATTGTTTTTTTTCCCCCCATTTAAAACCTGTCACGGGATGTCAGAGATGTGGCACCATTTGTCTCACCATTTGATTGTAAATATTAATACTGAGTAATCTCTAACCTACATCAGATTCTACAAGGTAGAATTTACAAAAAACAGTATATTAACAGATCATCTGCCTGGATTTTGTCCTTCAGCATGAGGACCGTTTGATTTGGGGGGTGGTGCGCGGAGGAGGAGAAGAAAGGAATACTGTCTACCATAGCTACACTGCTTTCTTTTTTTTTCTTCTTCTTTTTTTGCAAGTTGGATTTAAAAGGTCGGAGGACGCTGTCACAGTAACTCGATACCCAGAGGGTGATGGAGATCGTCTGGAAAAAAAAGATACAAGTATGTTAAAAGCTGCATTTACAGGGTACTCCTAAACTCATTTTAGCACATCTACTAGAAAGACTCTGAGTAGTTAAAAGATTCAGCAAAGAACACCTCTTCCACAAGTGACTGAGATCAAAGAACTTTCACTGCATTTCAGTCCCAACGTTTCTACTCTGATGTACTCCAAAACTTTTATTTTCCAAGACTTGTGTTCACCCCACCTCCCTCGAGACCGATTTCTCACTCCAAGCTCAATGAGTGGACGGGGACACTTCCGAAAGGCAGTTCAGATCTTGGCTCCTCTGCTGGGCCCTCTGCTCCAGCTAAGCTCTACACTCATTTACAGAGGGAGCCTAAAAATAACTGAGGATGCACCAGAAAAATGTCTAACTGCATGTGCCTAGCCATGACTCAAAACACTCATCACCCCAAATACTTCATCATTTCATCAAGAAACATAGCTTTGGGCTCTATATTATTCTCTAGTTCTAGTTCAAAGATGAAAATTAAGGTTTATCATCACATCAGCCCAAGTGCAATTAATACAGTCAACAGCAACAATCTGCAAGCAGAAGCGGGAAGGGAGCCGAACATGCTGTTTGTGCAGCTCTGGGATGCCAGATGAAACTTTATTTTTGTATTAGGCAGGTGAAAGTCTTCAGAGAAACTAAAAGGCAGCAAAGAAAAAAAAATACCTCAACAAAGAAGACTAAGTTTTCTAACAGGTTTGGATGAGTTTTCAAGGTGCCATCTCTGACTTCAATCAAGTCACCTTTACACTTATTGAACAAGTCTGAAAAGAGAAAAGAGAAGTCTTATTCAGGACATGCAGATCAAGTTAAATGCTTAATTTTCTGTGTAGCATATATCTCTTGTAGTGTGCAAAGCTGTTAAAGGACTGATTGTTAACCAGATAATGAAGGATTTGGCCAAAGCCTCTCAACAACGTCCAGTTCTAAAATTCCCTTTGCATTGCTCAGCACGCAACACAAAAATGCATTTAAAAATAGCATCTCTCCACCATTTATAACCACATCTGGGCAAAGTACCAGGGAGACAACTGTTGCAAAGACTAGGCTGCAAGGTAGTGAAATGATAGGACATAAGGACATTCTGTGGCATGCAACAACTTAATGATCAGATAAGCCAAGGGGGAGCCTTGTTCTCAAGTATCTTTCAAGGGGGGTTGCAGATGCATTGATGCACTTTCTCACAGTTGCAGCACGTTCTCAGGAACAGATCCTTACACTACGAAGCTTTACCTTGACTACCAGTGTTTATTTACTATTTACCTGTCAATCGTTCTAATAAAGACTTGAAACTATTCCCTATCCTCTCCTGGACTTCTGCAGAATCTTCTGAAAGAAAAAAAAATTGCAACTTTAAACTATAAGTCTGTACATTTTCTGCTTCCAGAAAGCAAAGAGGCATTTAAATGTAATGTAATAGCAGTCAAAATCAAATGCAACTGCTTTCAAAAGGATCCAGTATTATATCAGTATATACCGTCCAGAAAGGCAGACTTGCCTAAAACATGAAATTACTGTCTCCTGAATAACTTAGTGTCACTCAAGAATTCACACAAACGGTTTAACGGTTTGGGTCCAGATCAGGTACTGCCCTAGTAATTTTTCCAACTAAATGAAGACGCATTCCACTCCCTCCCACCACACACCATGACAGGCTGGTTAAGCCCCTGCCCTGCCCCTCAAACACTTACCTAGGCCATTGGTATCTAGTTCATAAATATCACTAACAAGATAAAACAAGCTAGTCTGGCATTGACAGCTGCCATTACTGAAGAAGCCAGCCATTCGGGTAGGAGGAGGGCCAAGGACAGGATACTAGGCAAGAAGCAAAGAAAAAGATAAAGGTGTTGCAGCTTTTCCTTATCCAGAAAACAGTGTTTGTCTCTGGCACATCTCTCAGTCAGATTCACACACTACAAACTCAGGGTCAGTTAAGTGCACTCTGCAGCCTGTTGGATGTTACAAGGTGCATTCAGTTTCTCTGCTTGCATTCATGTTCATTTAATATTTGGGGATAGCTTTTTCCTTAATGGATACCTGAATTTTTTGTTCTAGAAACTTCTTCCCTGAATCCACTGCCGCTTCCAGCTGTTGAAGCAGAGATCGAATTGTATCAATCTTGGATGAGACGCCGTTCTCTGCAGTCTTTTCAGAGTTCTTTGGTTGAATAGTGTGACTAAGAGTTGGGAGTCCACTTACTAGCCTTAAAGTTAAAGATCGGATTCGCAACCACAGGGTTTCTTCCTCCAATGAGAGTTTCCTATGTTCTTCAGAAATGTCCCTGGAGAAAGGCACCAAACGTTTTCAGGCAAACGCTTCATATTTGCAAAGTAGCAAGCTTCGCTCAGGTACAAAAGCCTATCCAAAGTTTTGGAACAACGTATGAAGAAGAAGGAGTAGTCAGAAATTCAGAAATCTGTATTAATATGTAAGATGGCAGCACTGCTAGAAGTGATGAATGATGCTCGTTAAGTTTGCAGTTAGCCAGTCTAGAGAACGTTTAAGTATGGGAGTTGCCCTGAAAGGGTTTTCTTTTCCCGTAAGCATTATCGAAAAGGTGCGAATCCACAGTTCAGGGTATTTCTACTCACCTGTCTTTTGGATCCCAATTAAACAAGACTGTCAGGTCTCTGTTGTCACGCAAATCTTTCCACGGAATGTCATCATCCTCTGGGCTCAGACTCATGGACTTTATACTTTCTTCTAAACTGGTTGATCTGTACATAAGGATTAGCAACATTAAAATCACACATTCATTAATTAGAAAGAAAAAGCCCAGCTCACTAACAGGTCACATTCTCTTCACTGTACCTCAACCGTATATAACGTTTCTGGCATTTTACATCTAGGATACCGACAAGGATGGTGGAGGGCAGAGCAAATTAGAAGCAGGGGGAAGTAGCTGGCAGGTTTTTACTGAAAAGGTGCAAGTGCAACTGACTGATGTCTCATTTGACCAATATTCTGCCTATACACTAATCTCCAATTGGTTTACTGCCCGTGGTATTGCACTTATTGCTGCTGTACTTACATATTTGCTTCAAGTAGAAGGTCTAGCAACATCCGCTCTGTGCGAACTTGCGCAAAGTGAAGGGAGGAGTTCAGCCTATTTCTAAATGCAATGAATTCTGGGATCTTCTCAAACGCACCATACTTGTAGGCTTGAATGATATATTCTGAGGTCTAGAAGAAAACACACACCATTGCTGTATTAGTTACTTCTGTAAGTTCAAAACAACCAGAGTTTAACAAGGTCACTGCCAAGAAATTGCATTTCTGTGATTTTAATTAACCCAGAGGTACAGTCTGGCAGATACTCATTTCCTGGGACAAGCCTGCAGTTTCACTTGTCCAAGTCAACCCAGCATTTTTGCTGCTTTAATTTAAAGAACACCCAGACGCTCCACTGGGAAGCATTATTTAAAAAGCAAACCAGCACTGGGAATCATCATGCTGCTGTCGCCACTAAGGCTGAGAGATATTTAAGGGAAGGGGGAGTTGATTTTGAAAGGTACTTTTTTGGGGAGATGCATTATTCAAATTATTGTTTCATTATAAGAAATACTCTCAAGCAAAATAAATGTATCCCAGATTTTCTGGAACCAACTTGGATGTGCATCACATATTAACACAACATCAATTACAAAAAAAAATTACTCACACATTTTTTTATTTGTTTTTTATTAGATTTTGAATACAGTATCACAGGATATCATGCAGTGCATACACATTACAATACAATCTAAACACCAAAGGAAACTCTCAGGGTCCATAGGATAGTTTGCTTCCCCTCTGATGAAATGCAGCAGTACAAGGCACTCAACCGTATTTCACATCAGTCCAAGCGGTCTCCACAAGGAGAATCTATGTGATGAAAGAGCCCCAAACAAGCATTATATTTTAACGAAAATTCAGAAGGAACAATTTACGCTCCCAGTCAAGACAGTACTACATTTTTACATCAGAATTACTCCATGAATGACAAATTTTGGCAAATCAAACATTTTCTTCTGAACAAGATTATCAGATGCACTGAAGATGAAAGGCACCAAAAGCAGCCCTGGTTAACTGCATACTATACTAACAGACTCAACCTGTCGGAAAGGCTCTGAGGGACTATAAGCTAGTACTCACAGAGGAAAGCCACTAATTTTTTTTTTTTTTTTCCAAAATAAGAAGTGTCCTCTATAGGTAGCTCTGCCTTTTTTCCTAAGAAATTTGGTTATTTGCATTATATGAAAAAATATGCCAAATATTCAACAACATACCCTCTGTTAAACAGCCTTGCAGAGTTCATGTCAGGCTGCGGGATTGCGCTATGGGCGCTAATTCAACTGCATCGACGTGGCTTTTAAATCCCCATGGGACACGTTGATGTTCTGTTTGCCTGCAGTATCTGGAGAAATTAAAGACGGACGGACACAAGAAAATTAGAGAGATTACTTGTGATTCTGCATATTTAAAGGAGGACTATCTCGAAAAGGATGAAGTTGCCTTTTTAGTATTGACCAAGTATAGCAACACTGCCCCTCTCTCCTCCCTGTCCTTGGCATCCTCTCTCGGGGCAGAAATATTATGTCAGCATTGCACAACATCCTGGACAACTGTTGTTCCTGGGACCCCCTCTTAAATGCTATTCATTTCACCGCAGGCTGTAAGTTCAGAAAGTCAGAAGGAAAACGTATTCCTCCGAAGTGATCAGTTTGAATCAGTAGCTATATTTTTATGCTAGATCACTTCACTTAAACCCCACGCTTCCTGTTTCAGGCAGAGTCCCACGCACACAACATCGCAGGCCGCTATGTTGTATATTTAACTGGTATAGCAGACATTCCAACCATCTTAAACAACAACCTAGAGAGGAGCAGGCAGCATCGGAAATCAGCTAAAAAGGTAACTTTTAAAGGATAGTCCTTCTTTAACACTGCAGTTAGATGCTGTTACGGGATTTGAATGGGAAGCTGATGTCAGGACCCTTAGCATGAAGGGGCAACCCCAGCAGAACCACAGAAGCAAAGGAACTGGTGGCAGATTCTGACCTTGCAATACTGGAGATGCATCTTAGGGTAAGGAATCTTTTTTTTTCCCCCCCCCTACTCTCTCTGTTCCTGATATGCCACCATCCTAGACAAACAGTACTCTGAAAGGAGCCTTGACCTGCAATTTGCACTTCATGGTTGGTTTTAAGGACACCTGCTATTTGCAAACTCGTAAAGCTTTTGATGAGTTTCCCATGAGAAAACTTCAGGTGGTAACCACTGAATGCGCCCAGGACACACGTGAGATTGACTCCGCTACCCAAGATCAACAACGGCTCATGGTCCTTTGGTCGCAATATTTTATCTCCAGGAAGAAACACGGCAAGCTGGTTTCAGAGATATATCCTTTTCTAGTAGCATGCAGAATTACATAACGCTGATTGCATCATTTTTTCTCCCTCTTGCAAATCCAGCTTTTTAAGGTGTGGTAGTCAAACGGGTCAAATCGTTCAGGCACCACCTTTTCAGTGTTTCTGGAACGTTAATGGAGTAGCATTTTCTTGGTAACAGCACTCAGAACACGGCTCAGTAGGTCTTTGTGTACAGATGCTGAGTTACGGAGACAATCAGTTCTTCTCTCCTGTAAGCACTGTTATCATCAATAACCTTATTCCAAGGTAGTGCTCAGAGGCAGTAACCACACCTGAAATTACTTCAGTCGAAGCGTTTTTCCAGGGAAAATGACTTCTTGCTGCTTTACAGTGCAGTGCTCTCAAGCAGATAAGTCACATCTGGCAGCCTTTTCAGTCCACTTTTTTCACCTGGCACACTGCAGTCAAACATTTTATTAAGATAGCTGGTTTTTCACCTGGCACACTGCAGTCAAACATTTTATTCAGATAGCTGGTTTCAGGCATGCTTTTCATTAATACCCACCGAGTGACTTTTAAACAAGACTGAACAAGTTACTCCTCATCAAAAAGGATAAGAAGCCACTACAAGCAATAGGTATGTAGGATAAAGCTGTTTGGATCCAGGCTTTCACTTCAGCACAAAATGCTCCTCCCAGGAGCCCAGAGCAAGAATGAGCGCTTAACACAAGAAGTAATTGAGGGAAGCAGACGAGAGCAAGCTTCCAATGCACCATTCACATGCATCTCTGTGCACCCCCCCTCCCGCCCCCGCATAGTGAAGTATCATTTCTGGGTCAGACACAGGTCACACTAACTCAGCATATCTACCTTCCAGACACAGGAAAATGATAACTGGTATCCTGTACATAGGAATAATCTAGGCTGCCAAAAGAGCAAGGGAATTACTTGTTATAGGAATTATGCGAGCATCTTTACTATTGAGTATACACAATCCCTGTGTTTTATCTAGTGCTGAGAGGGAGGCAAAACAAGTTACAAGCCGGCAGAGCCTTGGGAGCCTGCTTAGCCAGTGACTGACTGGAAGAGCTGCAACTGGATTGCACCTTAGTTTCTTACCAAGTGAGAATAGGTTTTTTCATCTACCTCTCACCAATGATCAAGCTTTGTGAAATATAAATATGCAGGTTGTGCTCCCTCCCCTCAGAATGGGACCGCCTTGCAAATTTTAGGAAGGTGGACCAACATTATGCATACAGTTCCCTATGCAATTCTAGACTATTTCTGCTCCTATGTGCCCAATATATTTTCACTAAGACTTCAAAAAACGTATCTTGTTTCACCATTTTCCTACCTAGGCCATTTTTCATGATTTCATGGGATTTCTGAGACAGCACTGATGTTTGCCCATAAACGTTGCAAAATGTACAGTGTACTTTCCAAGCAAGATTCTTGACAAGTACAGTTACTAATCAGCAAGCTAAAAGTATGCTAGATGCCTAGTTCATGGCATTAGTTCATGGTTTTAGGAAGTACCTGATGTCTTAGAGGAATTCAGCAACTTTCCCCTCACTATCTGCTCCGTTCTAGTCCTAAGCTTCTCAGTCAAGCAGATTTCAATTCACACCACTTTTTGATATGGATTGAATAAAGCAGATAGTTCCCATTAGCACAAGACCAGCTGTTGCAATTTGACTCTATTACTTCAAAATAGTAATGTCAATCTCAAGCTCTGCTCTGCCTTCATTAAAGCTGAAACTTTCAGGAGTCATTTCCTTCCCCCTGCCTCCTACCTGAAATTCTCCCACCTCGTTCCTTCCTCTTTCACTGCCTTCGATGACGATATACATCCCCCACCAGCCCTGGGTGCCCAGGGCAACTGTCACTGAAGTATGCTGCTTCAGTAAGTGTAATACAAAGGATTCACATGTATGCCAGCAACACCTGAGCGCACCATCCCTGGCTGCTGCATGGCTTCCTAAAATGCTAGAGGCTACAGCACCAGGACTTGTCACTTGCCACATTATATTTCACTTGGATTAGCGCATAAATCACAGTCCATTCATTTAAAAGTAACCACACCCAATTTTTGAGGAGTATTAACATTGACCTTTAAAAATAAAAACTTAGAAGCAAAGCTCCATATAACAGTAGGTCCCAAATTCTTGTAATGAGAAAACACAGGTTGAGTCAGCCTCTACTATAACCACAAAGCTGCACGTAGTATTCTTGTGTGTTATTACCCACTCCAGTCCCATAAGCCCTCACATAGGGCACAGACTTCCGTAAGGCATCGTGACATAACTGCTCTGTTACAAGGACAGAGAGGTTTCTTTCAACTTACATCTTTCTGGTTGGAGTGGAAAAACCTGAGTGCAAAATTGCAGGATTGGGATGCAGCAGCATAATGGCCCAGTGACTCTGCATAGCGCGTCAGAAGATAGCTGCAACACAACACAGTGCAAGTCAGACATCAGCACGCAACGCCACAGAATCCTGAATTTCATCAAGGGCAACTCTGACCACAGAACTGCAGCATACTTTAGTTTTTACAAGAAGTCTGGAGATTTAACAGAAGGCATTCATAACATGCACATTAAAGTTTAATCTTAACAGTAATGAAAGGAATTCTTAATATTTTTAAAAATAGCAAATGGAGGCATGGAGTTCCTCCAACCATCTTGTTAACTGTGCGAGAGCTTTATTGAATTAGATACCCACAAATATGTTATGAACACATTACAAACTAACCGAGGCCATTTGGTGTGCATTTTACCTAGCACTCCCAAGCTTTGCTGAGCAGTGACACAAGCCAGAACACCAAGCTGTGACTGCCATTGAGATACACATTTCACAGATTTCTTTCACAGAAGAAAAAAAAATAGATCCCTTGTAGTTAGCGCTCCCAACACCCAGAACTAATCAAAACCACCCAACAAACAGATGCTCCACTAGAAATGGAACATACCATAGTAGACTTAATGCAAGTGTAACTTGCAATTCTAAAACTTTTTATACAACTCCCTGTGAAAGTCTGAATCTGTCAACTTTGAGTAGCAAAGTAGACCTCGGGACTGGTTACTGGAGGGTCACCTTGGCCAATTATTCTCAGTATATACTACCCACCCGATGGTGTCGTGCTGTATGTGTTTTGCATCAAGGCTGGAATACAGCTCTGCAACGGGTTCAAATGCACCAAGCCTGCAGTAGATTCGAATGAGCAGCAATTTGAACTGAGCATTAGAAGGACTATGAGATAGCCCCTCTTCTAAGAGGGTCAGGCACTGCCACACAGCCGTCTCTTCACCTGGTGACAAAGACACAAACACAGAAAGATGTGATCAGAGAGAGGCGCTGAACACCAGCAGCACACCTCACTTGGGCATCGAAGCTTCCTTCCTCACGTTACACATCTCTCCCAACATAGCCCCATGTATGCAAACATGCAGACTGTGTTCATCAGCCACCTGGCTGCCCTTAAACATAGCACCCACCCCAGCATTTCGACTGCTGTCTTGAGGGAAAGGTGGAAGAATAATTCTTCACAGGGAATATCCAGCTCACATCTGTCACAGAGCAAAGCCCCTCACATGGCCAACAGCAGAAGTGACTTTCCCCAACGGGTCCTGGATTGTTCAGAATATCTAGCTTGTAACCACAGAGCACACCCAAGCATTATGAAAGAGAGCAGCCCAGAAACAGGAATTCAAGAGCCTGTGATGCTCCACCTGCGAGCCGCCAAGAACTTGGCAAGGGATTTACTCAGGTTAAAGACTAAACCTTCTTCCAGAAGGACAAAGCCAAAACCGACTGGTGCACTGATGGGCAGGAATAAAAACAGTGCCCAAGGACACCCACCACTGGAGGCAGACTCTGCACAATTAGGATACTAAGGCGGGCAGAGCGAATGTGCAGTACAGAATATCCAAGACAGAGCAACAGGTCTTGAGCAGCAGGCCTAGAAGCAGAGGAGCCAGAAGACACATTATGTCAGCGAGGGAAAGAATTACCCTCAAAACATCTCTCACATCAGAAGGGAGCTAGCAGAAGAACTCATGCAAAGGGAGAGAAAACATCTGCACAGGAAACGCAGAACAAGCTTCTGAGGACAGGGAGCACCGAGCTGCAAGAGTCGCCAGCAAAGCTCTGCCAGGACTTCACAGGGATTAACCAGAAAAAATTAAATCTCTTTAGATCAGTAAGTGAGAACTGGCTCAAACGCCAACTGAACAGAGGGACTCCTGGAACACCTCATACTGAGAAAAAACAGAAAGCGATGGGACTAACAAAGCCGCATCAGGCACACACTGGCCACAGGGGCACAGTCTCCCTACCAGAACCATGCAGGGTGCTACATCCAGTCTGGACCATGCAATGTCCACACAGCTGTCAAGACTCTTCTCCCCAACGCTGATGTCCCATCTACTTCTCTTCATTTGATTTGTCTATTTTAGTCTGTCCCCAAAATCCATTTTTTGTTTCAGTTAGTAAGCTGAGCCAGAAACCATGCTTTCCTACAGAACCATAAAGCGATAAGCAAACTACTCAAGATAAATAATAAGCAAAGAGCAATGTATCTATAATCAGTCGAAACTTCAGATGATAAATCACGAAGGAGAACTACTATTTATCAATCACAGATAAAAACAGATGAAAGAAAGAAAGAAAGAAAGAAAAAAGACGACAATAAAAAGATATCTGGCTCTGCTCTGGAGCAGCCAACCCATAACAGAGTAGCACCGTGGGATTTGGCAATGACTCCTTTTGTCCAAAAGGCAGCATTTTATCTCACACAAAAACAGAACTTGACCTTCCAGGTCAGAGCACGTATGAACAAAACACCAGTTGGAATTAAGACAGACACAATTTTAGGGACATACCTTCCTCTAGCCACAGATCAAGCAGCAGGTGAACTGCAAGCAGGCAGTAATAATCTGAAAACTGCAATTCAGTTTTCAAACAAGATTTCCCTGAAAAGAAAAATAAAGTTGCCCTTGAACTGCACAGTTAAAACGTTTCATACAACGGTGCTGTCAGCTGTTTCTTACATTGCCAGCGTTATCAAATGACAGTCGTCAGGCAGATAATAATCACAGCTTATTTATAAAATCCAGATTTTTAAAAAGTGAAACAACTGTAAATATGTTGCATTTAATTTATTTTGTTTTCAGTTCCTTCTGTTTGAAGTGACAGAGGGGCACATTCCACTTTGTCTCAAATTACACTTCCTTAGCTCTTCTGCGCTTGGATTCAGACTCCAAAGAGAAACGTTAAAGGAAAACACCACCAAAGCTTTGCAATCAAATTCAAATATTTTCTGTGTAAAACAGGAAAATTCTGCTAAAGAGTTTGGAATATATATACAGATAGATGCACACAAACATATTTAAGAACACAAGTGAATCTAGACCACTTCATATGCTAACAGTTGCTGGAAGAAAAAGATTCTCCTACAACTACAAGATCTATGAATAAATATTATTGCCCCTGTATTTGTCCTAAGTAGACCTGTAACATAAACTGGCAACACTGCCTGACCTTTTAAATAAAACCAAACATCCGATACAAACGTGCCATTCGATCTGTTCTGGAACCTCTCATTTGTCTTTAAGATAGACAATTGGTCTTACCAAACACATTAGTAAGAGCAAGGGCGTTGGCAAAACATTATCTAGCTGAGTGACTGGTGCTTTGCACTGATAGCGACACTGGGACACTGGCCGTAAGAGCTTGCGTTGTACCCTCCCTCCAGAAAAGCGTTGAGTTTCTGCTCACAAAAAGTAGCAAAGGAACTGCAACAGTAGTCTCAAGACACTCCTCACCAAACTCCAATCCATGGCGGTATCTTAACATCAACTCCCGAACCACAGTCGGCTTCTGTTTCTTGTCCATGGCGTGATAGATACCAAGCAACCTTGAGAGTTGCACCACACACAAGTGTTGCTGCAGGGCTTTGATATCCTCCGGCAGTGCAATTTCACTCTCTGCTGTTGCTGACAGAGGGATTACTTCCAGCAATTGACTGATGAACTAAAAGAAACAGAGTTAAATTCTGCAAGGCATCTGGGGCTGCACAAACAAAAAGCATCCTTTCCTCCCTCAAATCGAGAAAGCATGAGGCAATAATGTCAGCATCAATCTGGAAGTCACACTGAAATCAGTGGTTGAAGAGCTTGCTTTAACTTTCTTTCTTTTTTTTTTTTTTTTAGCTCAATAGCTTTAGAGAGTTTCACCAAACAGATGTAGGAAAGCACCCAAACAATGTTCACAGAAGAGTTTCCAACACATTGACACAACAGGGATTTTTTAAGCACCTGTTAACACTCACAGTAATAACACATGCAATAAAAATAATTATTTACTGAAAAGCTTAACAGCACACTTATAGCTAGTACAAACCACTGTTTTCTTTTAAATTTTCCTCTCAATCCTGAAGCAACGTGTTGAACCCAGTGAGGTTATCACCTCTGATTAATGACTTATTTCTTGAATTAAGTTGTAAGAAAAGCAGCCTCTCTCTGTTTACAGTTCTAATAGGCGCCAGCAGATTTCTCACACCACAGTCAGGACTGGAGAGTGATTTATTGCTGCCCTAAGAGTCAGCCAAGTTTACAAACTTAAAACCGAGTTAACAAAGCCAACTGCATCAAACACATGCCCTAGGAACAACAACAACAAAAAAAGACAGCTAGGTAAGAGCTCCACGCACAGCAATTCCAGTTCCCCCATAGTCTTTGATGAAAACATTTGCCAGCAAAGCTTTTAATTTGACCACAATTCCCAAAACTGGGCAAGGTCAACCAAATCACTTGGCTGCATATTCCAGTCTACCCCATCAAGAAGTCAAGACCAATGCCATCACAGCAATTATTTCCAAAATATTAGCATGTATCTAATGGCCCAGCAAAACCACCATACTCTCAACTACGGAACTGTAACATTATTCACAGCTCTTAACAAACCTGGCACTTCATAGCCTCAGTGTGTCAGCATGGAGCTTCTGCTTTGCTATTAGTTGGTAATGGTGGCATTTCAAGCACCATACCCTGTGCTTGAAGGTGCTCATGAAACCTTGGTGTGGAGCCTGTGCAATACAGCCTATTTCACTGCAGTACATTTTTCATCCGTTTTCCGCACACCCTTAACCAAAATCAGCAAATACACTAGGCAATTAAGAGCTCTGCATTCGAGACAGCACTTTGAGACTGCTCCCATTTTTCTCTCCTGGATATTTCCCAGTGATACTCAATGTGAGTCCTAATTGAAAAAAATATATATATATCTGTATTTCTGAACAGACTGACATGCTTTGAGTTCATAGATCCTAAACAAGTGACTAGGAGAAGAGAACTGACTTGCCTTTATCTCACTTGCTGTGGGCAGCTGCAAGGGAAGAGTAGGACCGCTCTGTTACTTAGAAGACAGCAACCTTCTGTTGCTGTGCAATAAGAATAAATCTAAGGTAACCTATAAATATTTTCTTTAAGTGAATTCAAAGACCTACAGAAACCTTTAGCAAATACGTTGTTCCTCAGTGGATCTGAAGACAGACATGACACTAATGACTTACAAAGTGCCTTTCAAGTAGTTTTTCCCAGCAGGGCTGTACAGGATGTGAATTAAAACAGGTAACAGTGAAAAAAGGCTTCCAGAAATTTAAGCTAATATAAACAACAAAATACACCTCAACTGCCTACACTCAGCTGCCCCCTTTTCCATATAACTTCCCATGACGATTCAGCTCTTGCCTGCCTCCACTTCTATAAAGCAGCGTTTATCACAGTTCAAACACTACAGCATGTTTTCTTCAACATTCCCTTGGAATTCTTTTCCTTTCTCTGCTTAGCACTTAGAGTTGCTGCATTGCTCCCATATGCTGAAGTTAATTAAAAAACACCAACCAAACAAAAAACCCAACTCATCTGCACTTTAACACCACTAATCCTCTTCATCTACAAGTCTCCTTGGCTGTGCTAAGGTGCAGATGTATGCTACCGAAGCACAACAGCCAGAAGACAGCAACACTCTGGAAAGGCCTTCTAATATGACATCACCATGCAACAAAACGAAACATTCACTAAATCAGCAGCAATTTCAAGGCCATTCAGAAAATTTTTACAGAATTTATTCAAATTCATACCTTTTATAAGCACTAGGAAATGCCTGTCGCCTGAACTATTAGTATTAAATATAATGTTTTCCCCCAAATTAAGAATTTGTTTCCTGGAAAGTTAGGATTAAACTTCTTCAGTGCTTCAGGACTTAAGGATTACCTTAAGAGATATGTTAAGTATCACCATTTCCAGACATCTGAGTTAAATATTCCACTGATCACACCTGTGGCCAGCAGGGGGAAGAACATGCCTTTCAACTTAAAATAGCAGCAGCAATCCATATATGCAAGGGCCACCATTATTATTACTAGTGAGGCTGTGGGAAGAGCTTGCATTAGCAGTAGGGGAATATTCTTTATTAATAAAGAAAGCGGCACTATCTTTACTTTGTTCACACATTTTATCAGCAGCCCCTGCCTGATCCAGGATTCTCTGTCTAGCCCAACCCAGCTCTGATATTTTACACAATGGCTTAGAAAAACACAATGAGGTGAGCGACAGGATTCCCAGCTGCTGAAGTCATTCAACAAGCTGCTCATGACTCTGCATAAATGGTCTTTTCAATCAAAGAGAGCTTGTTCCAGGGAGAGATTCTAGAAAGTTACAGTGGGTCTCTTGGACGCCTCTTGATCAGTATCAACCCATCCATTTTTCAATGTTGCAGCAGAGCCAGGCAAAACACAGATGTAGCACCATAGCTGCATAGGATGAGGTGAACAGATTCTTCCCGTTAAATATGTAACATTAATGGAATAAATAAGGCGTGGCAAAGGAAAGGAGGAAGTTTTTTTGTAAAACAGAAGCTATAGCACACAGTAAATTCATCTCTCCTATCTACTGTTTCAAATTGACCAGCTTTTGTAGAGATCTGTCTTCCTGCCATGTTCATGCTCAAGTTAAACTCTGTCAATGCAAATGAATAAAGGGGGTGGTCTTCCTACAGGGTGCTATGTTGCTCCATTTTGCAGGCTGTGATACGTAAACCAAAGTGATGAAAGATTACTTGTTTAAAAATTGAACAGACACGGTAGTTTTATCAGTTGATCTACAATTAACAGGTAGCTTTTCATCAACAGATACGCGAATTCAAACAAGATCGTCTCAAAGAAACCCGACTCCTTGAAATGGCAATAAAAGGGCCAAATGAATACAGCCTCTGGGTCTGAAACTTTGTAGGATCAAACCTATAGAAGCCTCCAGTGAAAATCCCTCAGTGAAGTTACTCGGAGAATTCAGATATTTATTACATTTTCTGCAGCGCAAGGAGTTTTCAAAGTTTCAAATAGAGGATGATAATTTTATATTTCCACCCTTTTAATATGACCAACAAATGTGTTAAGATAAAGGGACCAGTCTGTTAACCAGCTCTGCGGTTCTTCCCACCATTTCTTTATCTTTCCTTACCTTTGTATATTGGCTGGATGGGAGGAGATCCACAAATACTTTGAGATCAGTAAAACAGCAGGGTTTGTCCCCAAATTTTTTGAAGTACTGGAACATTAGTTCTTCTGGATCACCTAACAAAAAGGCCAGTTCATTTTTTTAAAATGCTCCATTAAAAGCTGAACCTGTAAAAATCACTGTGAGAAATCTTCAGTAATACATTTTTTCTTTGAGATTACAGTGATTTATAAAACAGATAGCTGCACTACTGCAGATTTTAACAGAGGCTCAATGTCCGTGTGTCAAGGACACACGGAAAAAAATCCAAGAGCTTCATTCAAGCTACTTTGGCAGATAAGAGCTCAGCACAACAGGCATACACACACAGTCTCTGCTTATCTAACAGTAATTTATTTTTGGATGCAAATATAAAAGGAACTAGTGAGTAGCACAGATTTTGCTCTAATCATGTCATCTCCTTCACTGACTCCCCAAGCGTGATTTTTAAATGTGAGTTTTTAAAAATGAATCTTGGCATTATTGACCAAAAAAAAAAAAAAGGAAAATCACCCAGAGATTGCAGCTAAATAGCAAGGCTTACTTTCTACAAAAGCAGTCTATCAGCAACGCACTTTTCATTGCAGAGTCACTGACTGTGCGCTCCTACATCCACTAGGTGCTTTTGAAAATTTCTCTTACAAGCCCTGGAGTAGTCTAGGGCTACTTGCTCTTCCTCAGGGTGCTTCTTCTAATGCTTTCAAAGTTCTTTACACACCAAACAGCGCATGCGTTTTCCTAACAAGTATTGGTAAATCACTGAGTTAAATGTTAAAAAAAAAAAAAAAAAAACTGTTCTAAGTTTGTGTTCTCGCCCTAAAAGATTAACTTATCATCCAGTTAGTGGCTCTTACCTAGTTTATGTTCATCATTACAACCTCTGTGTCGCAAGCGTCTAATCAGCTCCAGTTTAGCTAAATATGGTCCCCGAAGTGGCCGAGAGCTCTTAGATTCTTCTGTTATTCTCTCTTCTATGAATTTCACAGCTTGCTCTATAGAATAGTGTACCTCTCCTTCCAGAGAGCTGTGCAATTTAAAAAGACAAAAAAAAATTACTTGACTTTTCCCATTCCTAAGGCATTGAGAACATGTATTCGGCATGCTCCCAAAAATACTCTTAAGGAAGCCTGGCTTGATTCTCTACCTCAATCACTGGGAAAAGTATGACCTGGAAGAGCTCTACAGTGTCCAAACCACTATTTATACAGCAGTTTCCAGCAGACTATTGGCAGCCTCCAAAATCAAGTAAGGAGAACACATGAGTTCAGGCCTGATGTCAGGAAGTCATCCAAAGATGTAGACAGCATTATACTGAATATGTGAAGCCAAACATACTTCTTTGTAGCACAAAGGAACAACAAATGCCCCAAAAAAACAGTTAACTTACTGCTCTTCTTCAGATGGAGGTGTCCAGGATTCATCAATGAGTTGAAACACAGAATCAAAGTATGTTATATAAAACTGCCAATCATCTGAGCTAAAACAAAAAAAAAAATTCAGGCATGGAACAAAGTTTAGGGGAGTGCCAGTACTGTAACTCACTTATAAAACTGCATAAAAAGGAAGAGCACATATGAAGATTAGAGAATAACACTGTAATAAGAATCATTTTCCCATGAGGAGATCTCACATCTTAAAATAATGCAATCATTCTGAATTTCTCGAAGCAAATTAAGGTAAACAATTTCAATAAAGAGCTGGGGCAAGTTGCAAATTCTCCTTTTTGCATTTATATTCTAATCAGAAGACATACCTCAAGCATATCCCCATAAAAACACTAAGGCAGGAGGATGTTTCACCCGCCCATTTTCAGAGCAATTTAAGGACTTACAGAAAAGGAGATGCCAAAAGCAAAAGGTAAGCTAAAAACGTCTTCATGCTAGTTTGAAGCATACTGTAAGTGTTGTAAGGTAATCTCTCCCCCATTTTACTTTTACGTGTCCTGTTAAGCAGATGCTTGTTTTCCTGTTTTTGCATGGCAAATATATTTAACAAATACTGAATGCTACGAACAACTCCTTAGAAGAGAAAAAACTTTTTGCTGTCTCCTTGGGCAGGGGTGTTGCAGACAGGACTTCCTAATCTTTAAGGCTGCTCTTTGTTTTTTTTATTTGGGATGAAGGCACAGCTAACCAAAAAATAAAAAACAAAACCCTCTTGACAGTTCCACGACACAGGTCTGATCGCTGGTATGTTCTGTTCTGGGGCATCTGTTCAAAGCATTAGATGCGTTTCCCAGAAGGAAGTGTGGCCAACTGAGAGAAACAAAGTCCCAAGAAATTAAATGTAAATGCAGTTCCCATCCACTCCCACCCCCAAAATCATGGCTGGACAGTCAGAACCACCTTTAAAAATAAGGAGGGAAACAAAAGTTTATTGCTTGAACATGTCACTAAAAGTCAGCAGACCTTCAAAGAGAAGGAACTACAGTCATGACACTGACTCCCTGTGTGACCTCCACCATGTCTCTAGACCACTTTTTTTTTTTTTTTTGCTTTTTCCCCTCAGGCTTTGGAGTATAAATGTTTAGAAATGCGTTGAGAACTTCTGATGTTATTCTATTTTCACCACCCTTTACGAGAGCCACTAAACAGGCAATTCTCAACCAGCCAGGAATTCCTCCTTCATTCCTTTTAGTAGACTTGCAGAAATCTCAACTCACTTTTTCAGCAGCAGCCTTCTAGACAGCGCATTGCACTCAGGCCACCTACATAGCTTCTTGTACATTGCCATGCATTTGTTCTCTCGACTTTGGAGCTCACTTGTCAGTTTCTCTACAGTAAAACAGAAGCACAGTTTTATTTAATCCACTGATTTATTTCATTGCTTTCTGAATAAAGCATCTTGCTATAGCCAAGCGTACAAAGCAGTAAACATAAGACAATAAAAAAGAGGCCCTCAAAGGATGGAAAGGCCAGAACTGATACTAAAAACATTGCTAAGTTGCACAATAAAATCACTGACATTTTAACATCCTGCATATTGCAGAGCAACAGTGCCAGAAATTAACATTTTAGCCAATATATAGCTGGAGAATTAACATATAATTGTGCTGAGGCTTGCTATCTCACGACATACGGTAGCACTAGAAACATCTTAACAGATAAGTACGTATTTTCAAACAGGGAAGAGTGCTAGCCACAGAATCAGGACAGAAAAAAAAGTTGTCCACCTAGTACTTGCAGAAAGTAATAAAGCTACCAACACCAAGCCACAATCCACTCAGTTCAAAAATCTTCATCTTCTCTCTGAAAACTCTTTTCTTTAAAAGCATCGTGTTGAGTGTAGAATAGAACAACTTGCACGAGAGCACTTCCAGTGTTTGCTTCAATTTAGTGCCAAGAGTCAGACTAGCTTATGGCTTTTTTTTTTCCCCCCGGTAACGAGAAAAACCCCGAAGAAAAGCAAAGAACTGCTGCTCCGCCACACAAATGTGATTATTAACTGACAGAATAAGTTACCTCCTAGTTTTCCTCTCACAACATCTAAGGCTTCCCGATACTTCTCCAAACGTTCCAGAATCATGTAGTAAAGTTCAACCTTAAAAGAAAGATTAGACTGCAATGAAATTTGCTAGTAAAACAATATGCAGGAGTGCCAAGAAATAAAGTCGCTTGTGCTACAGTCATTAGAAATAGGAGAGAGCTAGGACTGCATAGCTATCTTTAGCATCTAGCAGGGTGTAACATTCAAGAATTTAGGTCTTTTTTCCATTCTCAGTCCTGAAGTTTCTCTTGGGGGCCTTCTAGGGAGCAAAATCAAGTACTTCACCAGTCAAATCAAATACCAGAAAATTTCCTTGGTCACACCCGCAAATCCCCCTCAACCCTCTGTTCTTGGTTTTCCTTTTGTCCCATTCCAGACACATTTACTTATTATTTTAACAGATATTGAATAATATCTGATAATGAATAACGATATATCCATATAACATATATATGTGGATATATCCATATATAACCATATATCATGTGCCATATGATAGATATGATGTGCGTATATATGGATATGTATCATATATACGTGGATATGGTGTATCATAAATAATATCCCCGACAGTAATGAACTTCCTTTAACACTGCATTCCTTCTCTCAATAACGTTCAGGTCAAGTTGAAAAGCTCTGCAAGTCTTACTTCAGCCTCAGCTTCGATCTTATCCTCTTTCACCATTTTTTCCACCATTCTTTCAGCTAGGGGCAAAAACATCGTCTTTGAGAGGTTTTCATCCTGTGCTGAAATAGACTAAGGAAAAGAAGAATTATTCTAATGGTTCATCAACTTCGTGTTGCCCTACTCACTGCTTTTTTCCCCCATTAGGGGAGGGAGGAAAAAAAAAAAAAGGGCTTTCAGTTCCCCACCAAATCATACATGTAAAAATGCCATTTGTCACGTGCAGAGAATGACTGCTCTGTTATACAGGCAGCAATAAAACTAGTAATATGCTGAAATGCTCACTCTTGATGACATTGTCCAAAGACTCCTGTAACTAGGCACATAATACCCATGAAAAATAAAATGTTGCAAGAACAAGTCTGCATTTTCTATAGCCCAGTACTTCAGTGTAATTAATGTAAATAACGTGATTAATGCCTTCATGCTTATTTTTTTGCTTGACCAATATTTTGTCAGGCTGTTTAATTAGTAACTAAATTTGCTCTCTCAACTAACAGCAGCACAGCTGATCCGCTGTCTAGTACTGCAGAGTTTCTGTAGTCTGAAAGACACGCTAAGTCCAGAGCTCTCATTTTTTTCCTCCTAGAGCCTTCATGATCTAGTTATAGAGGAAAAGCAGTTCTGAGCTAAGACATGATACGTTATTTGAAAAATTAGCACTTATTTATTAGCTCTTTAACTAAACAAAAATAAACAGATAGTAGGGTAAGTTGCATTAAGACCACCACAGCATTCATTCCGGACCATGTCAATGATGCTGATTAAGGAGGGCTCAGTTCTCTCCCAGCATCCTACATAAACAGTTCAAATGGATATTTTACTTAAAATAACTGTGGTATTTACTCAAAACATTTCTAGGTTTGCACTCTACCTGCAGTGAAAGTCTTAAATTAATTTGCAACACTGTACACACCTGCATAATCAAGCTCATCACAGACCAAAAATAGTAAGGATTTTTGGGTACAATTTTATAAAGTGCCATTCCAGCCTGAAAAACATAAGACAAAAATTCATCAATCCTAAAACACATCTGTTTGAGCTTTCACAACAGGCACTGCAAGCTAAGCAGCAACAGCAGCAGCAGACAACTCAGGATTAGCAACTAGATGGGCAGATTTTATCAATCCACGAGCCCTTCTATCCTAACATATATTG